CAGAATGATGCTAATTTCTGAGTTGCCCTACAAAAATACGTCATCTCTGCAGAACTCTACATAACACCCACTTTTGATGTTTAAATTGCTCATTTGTAATATTGTGTCATTGAATATCCTGTTTCATTTCATGGAAGTAAAATGAGATTCTAAGGGGGCTTCATGTTGACTTTAAATGAGGCCAGAGATGTAACAAAGCCTCACACGACTGCGTTCCTCTCAGATGTGGCAAAGCAAGCACAACGAAGCACAAAAAACATTGTAAAGAATGAAACAAACAAGGAACGTCCACACTAGCAACCTGCGACAGAACTATTTACTCTTTGAAAGCCTTTAAAACAGTAGTCACGTCATCCCGTGAAAGTGAGTCCTACTTTACAAACGCATTTGTTCACTGGAGCAAATAAACAGATCATTTGTAACAGCTGGACCTGAAACTCTGAGGCTCAGAGCAGATTCCCTGCTGACGTGATCGCAGCTACACCAGAGCTCACGGATTTAATCAGCCAAATGGACTAACCATTGATTTGTGGAGGTCAGAAATGTTAACCCACTTTCCTTATTTTACAAAGCTTTAACAAAAGCCTTTTTATGAACTCAATAGATGATGCAGCCAGATGTGCACTTAAAAAAAAAACCATCCAAACACATTTTAGAATGATAATAGAGATTTAGCTGCTATAGGTGGATTGCTTTAGTCTACTATAAACCAGTTAAAATGATCTAAAAAACAAATGGAATGAGATCACTGTTTGTATGAGGAAAAAATATTCAGTCAACCCAAAAGTCTTCACCAACATGCAAATTCCTGCAGTGGTGCAAACAGTGACAGAAATAAGCACGTATAAATTCAAAAGTGTCAAACCCTCAAAAAACGTCATCAGCCATTTGATGAAGAGAGAAAGTGCCATATCCTTGACAGTGTTGATTACAGATTTTCCGTAATGATAATGTTATAACACCATTGCATATGCAAGCATCATAATCCATACACTGCATGGTGCTGTGCATGAATGCTGACTGATTCATGACAGATCAGACACAGAGACTCAGTGTAATCCAGGATAATCTGGCTTGCAGTGAGCCTGGAAAAAGTGAGTTTAATATCACTGTAAATAAGAATGATGTCTCTGACCAGCGAATACACTGTGGTATACTATGAATTTGACTACATTACGCATGCGACTGACTCCGGATCTACACGTGAGTCACACTGGGCTAACATTTGATGAAAAGGAAAATCCATTGTCACAGCCATTATTTACACTCAATAAGGACTGTTTACACTCAATAAGGATTGTTTACACTCAATTAGGGAAGTTTGATGAATGAACGCTTAATGAACTTCAATAACGGCAATTCAATGAGTTACCTAACCCAAAAGAAAAAAACTAAAAAGATTAAACGTCCAAATGTAGGAATGAATTCAGTTTGAATGATACTTTTTGTCATTGAAATGACTGGGAAAAAGTGTCCCAATCAGCCATCAACCTGAATTCACCCTATGTTACACTATAGATGAACAGGTCAGAAATTGATCTACAACAACTAACAAGCCTCTTTTGGATATTATAAAACACTATACTGGGTAGATGTTGGCAAATCTGCTTGACCTGCCCCCACAAATCCACTTGGACCCCTTGCAGAGGCAACAAAACCCTTTAATTTGTCCTCGCTAACAGTCAAACCTTAAATAAATCCCCCACTTCTCAAACAAACACACTATCAACAACAACAACAACAAATAAAAAATAAATAAATAAATAAATAGACAATAAACCCAAATCAGCATATAAATGTTGCTGGCAATATAATACAACTTAAGTTTGGCAAATAAACATTATTCTGTGTGTTAGCCTGTATAAAACCGAATAAATAGATAGATAGATAGATAGACAGATAGATAGATAGATAGACTGTAAAAAAAAGTGCTGTAAAATAACGGCCAAATCTGACAGTAATGTACTGTTTTCCATTAAAACAGTAATGTGCTGTAGAAAACAATGCATTCTGGGCAATATTTTGCCGTTTAAGAAATTGCCGTTAATTTACAGCCAATTTTAACAGTACTCTACTGTATTTAAGTAATACGTTTTTTTACTGTTTGCATCACATGATGAAACTGTATGTAAACCATAGATGAAGTGTACCGTGACCAGTGAACGTAACTTATTAAAGATACTGCGCTTAAATAGGCTACAAGTGACTTAAACTTACTCTTAATTAAATGGTGCTGTAATTACCGCTCATTCGGTTTTAGGATTACACAAAACGCACAATTAAAAATGTTTTTTTTTTTTATTACATTCAATTTCTAATCTAGAAATGTTTCTTCTTTCCAACCTAGTCTATCTTAAAGAACGGAACTTGTAAATCAGAGTGAGCTGTTGTTTATATACTCACCTGTATCACTTCATCTAGCAGCTGTAGTAAGCAGCGCTGTTTTGAGTTGATGACGGAAAAATACTACGCGTAGAATTATTCCAGAAGAACTAATACTCTTACTCTCTCAGCGTTAATTCCATATCATAATCAAATTCTCAGGGACAACTTCACAACACTGGGCAATAATATTTCACTTTCCTCTTGTGTCTATGAATGTAGTGAAGAAAACCAAGCGCGTAAAGTTAGTCTCTATGGGAGGGTTGCGCTCGCGCATCAGTGCACCTCTTGAGTTCACTCACTCCTCCCGCTGCTGCTTCACCAAACCCATGCAAACACAGGCGCGCATGCGCAGAGTACACGGACAAACAAATGGACCAGCACACACATTTACACATAACCAGCTGTCACGTCTGAAGAACGAATGTGTTTTAATATCAAAGGATCATTTAAAATGTTAAATGTTTTACAGGTTGAAAGGCAGCTGGCATATAATACAGAAAAACGTTTTATTCATCAGCCCTACATTTTTTACAGGCATAGGGTATTTAACTCCGTCTGACCTCATAATACAGAGGTGTGTCTGATGTTGTACTTTGGTCAATTTGACATCTGGGCACACGGAAATCACTACTGAGACGACTCATGACAAGAGCTGGCTTAGAATGTGGGTTGGATAATATGGTAGTGAAATTAAGTGAAAATGTGTCATGGGTGTTGCCATGAATTTCAATGCAACTAAACCATGAAGTGTTGTAATGTAAAACACAAACACACACTACAATTTCTACTCTGCTACACCTGCAATAAAATTCATAAGAACATAATCCAAGACAAACTTCGTCTTCTTCTGAACAGTAATGATTATTACTATTATTATTTATTATCACGGTTAATAATAATAGTAATAATTATTATTATAGGCCTATTATATATTAGTACTACACCGCAACAGTCTTCAAAGTTCGGCTTGGCATAGTGTCTTATTTACAGGATCAAACAGTAGTTTGTGGGACCCCTAGCGGTGGCAGATCACGTGTTATTTCGTAGTTCCAACACTTTGAACTACTGACCACTAGAGGGCAGTGAATTCTTGTGTTTTCTCTTCAGGACAGGAGGCATCTTTGAAAGGAACACTACCTTGCTGCTTATTTCACAGTATATACTTTTTAATACTATGTGAAACAGTATGTATTCAATAAATGCTTCAAACAACAATATGCTATCAATATCCTCCTTATGTTGCATGATTAATTCTGCAAACAATATCTAGTTTTAACATTGGAAAAAAAAAACGGTTTTGAGACAAAAAGGATACATAAAGAAAGATGTTAAGGCTGATATTACCTCCGGTTCAATAACCCTGAAAACTGAAGGTCAAGTGCAGCACCTTGTTTTGTTGGCTACCCATTTCTGTGCCTCCTGTCGTATACTTCACATTTACACAAATGCAGATCATCCATTCAATAAAAGTTTAATTTTTAATATTCTATTAAAGTCTCTACCAAAAGAGAAGTATGGTTTATTGTATACCATTATAAGTGTCTAATCGGTCATTTCCGATATATATTATATAGTTTTGAAAACAAAAATCTTAATTCATAAATGTACTCTTCCGTTTTGCTTAACTTAAAAAAAAGCATATCAACATACATAAATATTTAATACAAAAAAAAAAAGCTATCAAAAAATGTACACTTCTCATAACCTTTAGTGGATCTCAAAATACAACTTTTTGTTCCCTCAGAAATCAGAAGCACAAGAAGGCAAACATACTTCCTTCAAGCATTTTCAAACCAAAGAGAAGACTGAATAAAACGGTTTATTCCACAAAAACAATACTGCAACTACCAGTCAAAGGTTTGAACACATCTGCTCAATATTACTATTTTCCACACTTTAAAATAATGGTTAGGTCAATAAAACTACAAAATAACAAACATGCAAGCATGGGAACACAAACAGAAGTATATGGGAAAATGTAGTAAGCAAAAAAGGGAAACAACATAAATATCTTACATCTATCATGCTTTTTTCCCCCTCAAAGTCACCACTTTTTGCCTAGATTCTAGCTCTGCATACTCAGGACTACATGATGTGCGTCCTGGGATACTTTTTAAACAATACAGAAGTTCCCACCCTAGTGAAAAATAAATATACTAAAATGTATTTGAAATACATTTATTTCATGCTAAGTAAACTACAAATACATTTACATATTTATGTACTTAATAAAATATACCCTGCAATTGTACTTTTAGTATACTAAACTGGTATATGTAAAGTCTGCTAAACTGGAACAACTAATTTTGTACCTAATGCACATTAATTGTGCAGAAGTAGTGCTGAAGTCCAATTAAAGATACTGAAGTATATTTGATTGTGCTGAAGTGGAACTAATGCAAGTATACTTCAGGTACACTTTAAATATCTTGCATTTAAAGACCGATCTTATTCAAAGACCATACGATCCTCATCAACAGTGATATTAAAACACATTTTAGGCTTAGAAATGTGCATTGTGCATAAGTAGTACTCCAAATTATAATTGTTATATCAGTAAGTCCCGAGCATATGTCAGTAAATATGTTAATAGATTAGAACTTAGTAGTCATACTTAGTATGAAATAAATACATTACTTTTTTAGGGCATGTACATTACTTTTTGGCTACTTTTCATCACTTTCCAGACTAACTTATCCAGTTAAAAAAAAAAAAAAAGTATATTATTTTCATCTTTGGCATACAAATCTAATTTGTGTCCAAACATTTGACTGATATAGTGTATATACAGTAAATAACATGCTCCATTACAGATACATACATTTTCTAGCTTTTAAAACAATACTTTTTCAAGTTTTATAAAAGCTACGAAAATATCAGCATATTTCTTGTTGGCCTTTTATGTATTTAGCTAAATAAATACTCTATTTTGCTTAATATTGCACTTCTTTTTTCTTTTGGTAAAATAACAATATTCAGCTCAATAAAGCACAGTGTGCCACAGTTTCTCTCCCAGAGAAACTCGGAGTAAACAGAGAATGAAAGTCTAAAGGCAAATCATGCAACATCTGCAGAAAACACATATAAGTAACAGCATTCGGTATGACTAGATCCATTTAGTCGTCAAAATCTGGGATGTCATCGTAAGAATAACCACGGTAACCCTTGGAAGCATAATAAGCAATCCGCAGATGATAGAATCCGGGAAGAAAGATCAGTATGCCGATGATGAGAACGGGAATCGTGCGATCTGGGTACTACAACAAGACCATACATTACTGTCTAACATACTGACAGATATTTACAATACTGCAGTTTTGTTTACTCACCATGACATTAATGTATCCTGCCAAAAGAAGGGATCCAACAACAATCAATACAGAGCCAACCAGAAATAGGAACGTTGCCAGGGCAATAGCCTTGTAGGGTACTTTAGGTGGTGTTTTCTTGAACTATAAAACAGTGTTTATTCATTTATGCTACAAACAATACATATATAATACAATTTATATATTTTCCTACATCAGTTTTTCTCACCTGTAGATCAATGTAGCCTTCATCACTATCTGCCAGCCTGGAGTATTTCACCTTATTGTTTGGAGCAGCACTGGCTGTGTTGTTCCGAGTTGCCATCATGATGATGTTTAGGCTTACTGGCACTTGAAGATGATGAAGAGTAGCAAACTATACCGTGATTATCTGAGAGAGTATCCGCTCCTGATGTGGTTTATTGTGCGAGAGCAGAAAGAAAGTTTTAACTTATAATACAGTAACGGTACATGCATCACAATAGTGCAGTAGAAAACTCATGTTAGATTTGTATTCTATCATTTTCAGACTGTCATGTTTACTGTCTAAATTCCAGTCCACATTAAATTTCAAATACAGTAATTTGATAACATTCTGTTGATAGGCTATTGTCTCAAGCTAGGTAATTAATTAATAGCAGCTATTATATCATTAGAATACACATCCAAGAGGTTATTTATACAGACTTGAGTCATACATCTTGTATTGCTGTTTCCAACTGTATCTGCTTGATATTGGTCAGTTTATAGAAGCGTTCATACACTCACCAGATCGTGCCTTTCAAGTATGTATTCTTGTATTCTATCATTTTCAGACTGTCATGTTTACTGTCTAAATTCCAGTCCACATTAAATTTCAAATACAGTAATTTGATAACATTCTGTTGATAGGCTATTGTCTCAAGCTAGGTAATTAATTAATAGCAGCTATTATATCATTAGAATACACATCCAAGAGGTTATTTATACAGACTTGAGTCATACATCTTGTATTGCTGTTTCCGACTGTATCTGCTTGATATTGGTCAGTTTATAGAAGCGTTCATACACTCACCAGATCGTGCCTTTCAAGTATGTATTATTTCACTAAGAGACGCTTAGTGAATGTATTCTTTCACTAAATAACCAGAGACGCGGGGTAATGTCGTTTCGAGCCGACGGGGTTGATTTTTAACGGCTACTTCCACAGCACTACGAAAACTTTGCCCGCCTTCCAATGAAAACACTGCTCATCCTTCTGCGGACATTGTTTACTTCCTTATTCCCATTCCAACCTGCGCGCGCAGGAAAGAAGAACCGCGGCAGCCAATAGCAACTCGTCTTTCTTATGCAAATGACAGGATATCATTTTAAAGAGGGAAATAAATAAATGACCGTTTTTGCTCTATATATTAAAGAATATTAAATAATATTAAATATTAAATCGATTTTAAACAGTACATTAGTAAAATAAATTATAATTACAATTAATAAATTCAGAAGTCAAATGTCAGAAAAAACATGCAAAAAGTGAAATAAATGAATGATGATGACATGAATAAAAAAAAATAATTTAACATTTATTTTAAATTAATAATTAAAAGTAAAAATACAGTGCATATCAGCAAAATATCTACAAATGAACGAAAACCAATTAATAAATATGAATAATATGTATTTTTGACGGTTAAAAATACTTCAGAGATAAATGTAAGAAAAACAGAATAGACAAACAAATAAACTTTAAATGACTCAGAGTCAACCTGCTTTTTCGTGTATCTCAATACTAGATTAAACTGAATAATAATAATAATAACACATTTAAAAATAACTTATAAATGATAATGATACATAAACATTATTATAATTAATAAATTAAATGTAATTATTACTAAAAATACAATATAATTGAACAACCATGTAGGTTTTGCGTGTGTGTGTGTGTGTGTGTGTGTGTGTGGTGCGCAGGGGTGTCCTTAGGGGAGTGCAACTGGTGCGGTCGCACCGGGCCCCGCTGCGAACGGACCGAGTCAAACCCATCCCCGCCTCCCCCCTGTGACATTTATTTAACGATATTTTCCCCAAATAATATCACTAAATAATTTCATTATACATTCATAAACTTTCTGCTAAACTGGCTGTGGGTGTGTAGATGATGCTGTAAACTCTCATATTTTATGTTTTTAATACAGTGAGAATAGCACTATGACAATGTACTGGTATTTTTGTTTATTCTAATATTCTGTAATGGATCCATTGGATCCGATGCATTTTCTACAGGCCAAGACTACGGTGATTCGAATTTGTCATTGTGTTTTCTGAATTGTTGTTGTGATTTCTGAATTGTTATTTTGTTTTTTAGGCTTGCATTTGCGTTTGTAATTTGTTTTTGTTTTTTTCAGAATTGTGATTTATTTTGCACTTCTCGGCCACCGTACAAGACACTTCTCAGGCGCTAAACCCCATTCATCTGATCTGTTGTTTGTCAGCGTCTAAGCGGAGGATTCATTCCTTCCTCATTCTTTATGGTTTGTGCAACTGCTGACGTTGGCTGGCTTCCAAAGTAACCCTACAACTAAACAATGAAGGACCCTTAACATTCGCAGCACGTCTTGAGACTGCAGCTTTTAGGCAAGTGCTTCAATAGCTTAAATATTTAAAGTGACAACAAGGGAGGAGATGGGAGCCAAGGCATTCAAAGTCAGTGCAAGCAATCAGTCATGCTCGCATTAAAATTCTGCATGAAGCACGGCAAGGAGGAATACGTAAAACACAAAACAGAAGTGTTCACGGTTTTGATTTAAAGACACAAAAGCTCATGGACATAAGATCTTGCATGAATAAGCATTCTATGATGGACATGGTGCATGTAGCCAAAAAATAAACAAAAAGAAAAAGAGGGTGCATGTGTTCTTCATTTCTTTGTTTTAGGGGGAAAAAATGAAATGAAAATGAATTATTTACACTCTCTTGTCATTCAAAACACATGGTCTTCTGTTGAACACAAAAGAAGATGTTTTGAATGTTAATGCTGCTCTTTTCCATACAATGAAAATGGATGGGGACCAGCAGTCAAACACTTAAAGAACACCATCAATGTAACCTATAAAGAAAGTCTTACTGAAATGACATGACATCTAATTTATGTTCTCATGCAATGACAATACAGACACATAACCTTTGGAGAGTCGGAGGACTTTTCTTGTTCTGGTCATAGATTGAGGGCATGGATTATTGTGGAAAGAATTATGAAACAAATCATGCTGGTGGATCTTCGAGAGAAAGTAATGGACAGTTGAAGAAATACAAAGCGACATTCACAGCCACAGGCGGGAATGCCATTTCATATAGCCACATAAATCATTTATTTTCTTTGGCTGTGACATTCACTTTCATTACCAAAGCTGACCTTCAGGGACGTCAGTGATCAGTGCTGATGAATTATACTGTTCTCCACCGACTGTTCAAGCAGAAACAAATTGTGCTTAGAAACTTTCATATCAAACCAACACAAGAAGACCTAAGAGGCCCACAAAAAAGCACTTAAGTTTTAAAATGCACATGTATCAATGACGTGATGCTTCTTTTTTTTTTTTAGTTCAGATATATTGTTATTCAGAAATACATCAAAAATGCGATTGATACAGACAATGACTTGAATAACCCTCTTCTAAGAACATTCTGAATTAAAATTCACTTTGATCATCTTTGTCAGTCAAAGTAGGTTGTGTAACTGTTTGGAAGTCGCAAAAAGAAGAAATGTTTAAGTAGAAGTCTCAAATTCTTGAAATAAATGTTGTCATAATTAGGTTAAGTAGCAAATTTACTAAAAAGAAATATATATATATATATATATATATATATATTTAATATGTCTTTATACACACTGAAACATGTTTGAAAACATTTTTTTTGTTTGTTTAATGATTACATTGTATATACTCATCTTTTAAAAGTGAAATGAAAGTATTAGTAGGGGGAGAGTGGGGACAGTTGCAACACTTTTCGCATTTCCTTTAGTTTCTCAGAGACTATTTGTATTAGAAAGCCAACATTTTAATACAATAAAGCAACATCTGTCAGCTACTCACCCACACTAACATGTGTACATATGATAATATACATACAATTTATACTTCAATAGACAAAGTCAAATGTTGCAACAGAGCCCACAACAGGATGGTTGCAACAGTCCACAGGGGCAGTTGCAACATTCATTAAAATGTAATTAAACTCATTCTTAAATATCATTTTGAAATTACTTTATTTTATGTGTGCACAGATGTTTTGGTTAATTATTAAAATACATTTGAACTACAAAATATTAATGTAATCAAAATCAAGACACTGAAATTTAAGAATAGCCTACTTCTGTTAACTTCTGTGAAAGTTTACTGAACTGGGGCCAGTTGCATATGCTAAGACTGCGTCTAAAGAACTAGTTTGACTGACTAGCAGTTAACCAAATTGTAATCGGTCTTACTTTTCAAATTCAAATTAGACAAATCTACCATTTTAGGTAACTGACTTAATAAGTGTGTGTGTGTGTGTGTGTGTGTGTGTGTGTGTGTGATGACGTGTAAGAGGGTGAGAGTGAAGGAAATTAGTCCACCTTACTCTAACTGATTTTTAACCTATTTACTTAAATAAAAAGGAGAGATACCTAACTATTTAAAGGGTTCTTTATTAATCCATAGAATTACAATTATGTAATGTTATGGGAAGTTTTTACATCAATGTTGTGGTAAGGGACAGCATGCTGGGTTGTTGCAACCGTCTCTACACTGACAGCCGTGATAAAACTTGGTATAGGCTGCTAGCTTGACATCTTTGACACATAGCTATGCCTATTAGAAGCTAAGAAGACACTAATTAAAATGATATAACTTTATAATGCTTATATGATGCTTATAACTTAGTATGACAAAAACAAATTTGATCATTAGTTATTGTTTTATAAAACTCATTCGCTTTTACAGATGTTGTTCTGAATTAAGGTAAGTGCAGTTAATTTTGAGAAGGATATTTAGTCTGAAGGAAGACAAAAAAACGCAATTTAATGTTTGTTTGATTGGTTGAATAAACATATTTGCGAACGCAGCACAAACACCGCGAGAGCGTAACTAACGGGAGCAGAAATGTCCGGCTTGACGGCTCCGTTTTCAACTCCGCCCCCAACTGCAAGCGGCTACTCTCATTGACTGCCGTCTGTAGCCGTGCTTCAAGTCGAACGCACCTATCATCTTTCAGAGGCGCCAAGGTCATGTGACTGTTTTCAGCAGCCATGTATAAATGTTGACATATATTTGTAGTTTGAAGGAATTTGCATATAGGCCTATATAATTACAATATCATCAAATATTTATATATGTTGCATAACTCGTTAATTTTTTTATTTTTATTTTTTTCAAATAAGTTTCCATTGTGACAACTTCCTCCTTAAATGCCTTTGATTCTAACAAAAATACAGGAAGCCTTTTGGTCGGTCCAGTTTCATAATTTGTCAAACATTACACTGTATAATAATATAATAAAATCATTATTACCCCTCTCATTTTGGGCACAGTATATTTAGCCAGGCTCACCAGATGGATGATAGACAGACTCAAAGTCAGCACACCTGATTACAACAAAACATGACTTTTGTTTAATCATACATTTTATGGTTTGAATGTATACATCTAGGTTTTATTTGTAAGCACAAGGCATATTAATTTCCATGTTGCCGTGTCTGGTTTGTGTATAAATCTTTATATAAATTCCCCAAGCTTTGCTTAATCAGCTTTAAAGCGTTTTTCCAATATGATATCTGGCAACGCACCTTATATTTCTTTTCCTAAGGTTTTTGGAGCAGGAACTTCTTAGTTCTGTTTCAGTGAAAGAGATTTGGCCTGTATATAGCTCCTGCAGTTAGTGCATCACACCATATTGACAAAAAGATCATTCCTAAATGGCTTTTGTGAACTGAGGCGCCTAAACATCCGCAGGACACAACTGCTACACCGAAACAATTCACCCAATAGTAACTTGAAGGAACAGGCACTTTTCCATCCCATTACTTATTGCAGAAGGGTTAAGAATCAGTCGCATTGAGCTAAAGACATAAGTGGTTCATAGCCAGATATTGAGACATTTTTATGATAATATCTGTATTTTATCCGAATTGTGATTTGTAAGTGCCTCAAAATAATATATACTGAAAATGAACAACTTTCAATTGTGATCATCTCTCTGACTGCAAACGAAAACAAACATTCATTGCAACAA